ATATATCCGATTATTTAATTCAGAAAATAATAATTCTGCCATATGACAATCTGTTTTTATCAGATTTTACAAATTTAAATACAATGCACAGACATGCTATCTGCTCACATACAAAATGATATATCTCTGTATATATTATATTTTTATAATATGTAACAGAGAAAACTCATTCTACTTTTTTCTTACACGAGTACTTACCTGAACCAATTTTTACAAGACCATTATGTTGAATAAATATAGTGTCACAGGTAAGATTTCCATGTATAATGGGAGGTGAACACGGAATCGGCCCGAAAAGGGCAACTATCTCCGAGCACTGATATATATAAATTGGAAATAAATACCGCACTTGCTCAATATAGTTTTATAGGCTTATATTACCTAAGCGCAGAAAGTATTTGCGTACACCACCGTTTCCACGCTTGCAGAGGCAACTTTTTTACATTGCGCTTTGTTCGTTTTAGGAACTGTTTCAGGGATCCGGATGACATATATTCTGTTATAAATATAACCTGGAAAATAATATAAAAAGAAACGCATTAATAATATATACAAACTGTATTTATATAAATGCAGAATCTCATGCACTTACTCGGGGTTTGTCATTATGGGTATCTGTCCAATACCTATGAAATTTAACAATGTTAGGGTGCTCCAACTGTGTGAGATTCTCAAAAACGAGTTGTATCTTTTCTTCCTGGGCCTTGAAATTTTTTCTTTCCGAAAATTGCACCTCATTCCACACCACTTCAACACCTTCCTCAGTATCCATTGCCAGGTAGGCACAATCAATTCCAGGAACATCTCTCTGTTCTACCTACAGACACAAAAATAAGTAATTAATAAAAATAATTAATTTCTACATATTTCTTAATTATTTATACCTTTATACTAAATAAGTAAGAAAAAGAAACTATAAAATTATTTCATTATAGAAATTTGCAAATATATAACACTGTAATATAAAGGAGTCTCTTCTGTACCCAACTGTTACCAGAAAATTTAGAAAATATTATTCAGGTATCCCAAGATCATCCAGTTCTAATTATTAGAACTAGATGATCCTAGAGTTCCTGGATAATATTTTTAAATTCACGATTATTCAGATATATTTAAAATATAGGCTGTGACTTGGACAGGTTTATTCGATACAATCTATATATAGGTATAATGGATTGCATTACTGTAATCATTCATTTTAAACGTACTTAAAGTGCCGCATTGAAGCGATTTCAACGCCTATTTACTATTACATGGATGTGACCTTGTCAAGAATTTGAAGAGGGGAGATGATTCAGAGGAGGGCTTGCCACCACAGATATTAGAGACAATAATGTCCTGCTAGTTCATAATAGTCTAATATATACAAATTGTTATTGTCTTCATTCAAATTATTATAATTCTGGACAAAGTACTTTGAGAGAAGAAATGATAAACTAACAACTCAACGCATACAAGTACAATGAAACATAAAAATTATCCCACTTCCTGTTTCACAATGTTACATACTTCCATTTCAGTAACTTCGTTTTCAGTTCCTCTTGAAGATCCAAAGTTAGAACCTTCGGCTAATGTAGATTTCGAACCTACATACACCTGAAATAAATATACCTTCTATGATTAATGTAAAATGTGTAGACATTATAAATATAAAAATACACACACACACACACATTTTTATATATAAGAAAATAGTGTTAGAGTCATTTAATAAAGAGTATTATTTCTTACAAAATAAAAGAAAGCTAATATTATATCAAGCATATATCATTAATTTAAAGAAATTAATAATAATAAAATTATAAGTTTTGCTCATGCAACTGTAATATAAAAGCGTAAAAATAAATATAGCAAAAGCATAATGAGATTATTTTTTGAAAACATAAAATTCATTATAGTTTCTAATATTGAGATGATATAAAATGGTATAAAATGTGTGCAGTGTTCAAAAAATACAAGCATATTAAAATCGAAAGCACAATTAAACAAAATCCAAGTGAGTATAAAGGTAATCTTTTATAATGCCATTTAAGGTAATAAATATTATTTTACTTCTATAAAGGATAAGCATTAAAAATTACTGATAAGGTATATGCAATCAAAATAATTTCATTGAGTTATATATTCAATAACAGAACGTCAGCAATCTAATTTTAGGATAAAATATGAATGAGCCTAATATCGGTGAGATGTTTGTGCCAAGAATCTGGTATGAGTTAAGATACAGATGAAGCATACTAAATAATAAGAAAAATTTAATAATATAAAGGAGATATCTATATTACGCAAAAGCAAATCTCTCAATAATCTGCATACTTTTTATAATGAAACCATCTGTGTACATATGTCCACCTGTATAAATGCAATTTGAAATAAGTTGTCCTAATATTTATTATAACGCAATGTCAAAACAAAAGTATTTTAAACAAATATATGTTAATGGTACTGTTTCAGAAGAGATATATCTGTAAATAAAATTAAGATATAAAGAAAGATGTAAATGCAATATTAGACGAGTAAGTCTTCAGTCTTCAGTTTCGCGCGTATTATAGCCTGCTTGTGCTAGAATAGCTTATGAAAATATTGATCGTGTGTGTGTTTTAAACCTTAAGAAACATCATTAATAAAATATTTTATATGAAATAATTTAACTGTACAATTCCAGCGACTATAGGAATCTAAGAATACAGGAAAGCGTTCTTATAGCTATTGGCTCTAAACAAGTAGTAAAAACTAATACAGAAATTATGTAGTGAATCAATCTTATAATCCATATTCCAACAACGATAAATGTTAAAAGTGTTAATCTCAATATTAGTACAATAGCTTTCAACCCTCCATTGTCATCAAATGAAATATCACAAAAGTATAACAAAAAAAACAAAAAACAAAAAATTTAGGAAATGTACAAAAGAGTAGAACATTTATTGAATCAAAGTTTTTTAGGAAACCTTGCATGCTGCGACAAGCTACAATCCTCGAATGCAAAACAATGTAACATGCGAAAGCCCTCCACATTAGCGGAAAGGTATCAGCGGAAAAAAATATGAAATGGGGAACAGAATATGAGTAGAGATAAACGAACACGTACCTCTTCCCGGCGCTTAAGCCACCGCCCGCAGGGGCTCTCTTCCAGGATCTCGCTCTCATCCTCGGAATCTTCACCACTTTCCCGCGGTGACTTATGCTCTGGGTCCGTGCTGGAGCGGCTCCCGGGCATCACACACACTTGCGATTAGTTAGAGAGGTAGCAGCGAACAGCAGGCCAAACTCATCGGTGACGACGGCGATGATGCTCTCTGTCTCCCCCTCTCTCTCTCTCTTTCTCAGTCTCGCATCTGGCACTCGCCACGACAACGACCGGCAACGTACTATGACTCGTGGTAAAGGTGTATGAGGAGAACAACAACGGCCACAGCGGCAGCGTCGGCGTCGTCGATGTCTGCTACAGCAGCAGTAGCAGTAGCAACAGCAACAGCGGCGGTGGCGGCGGCGGCGACGACGACGACGATGACGATGACAACGGCAAAGGCAGCAACAGTAACAACAACAACAACAATAATAATAATAATAATAATAATAACAATAATAATAATAATAATAATAATAATAGTAATAATAAAAAGAACGTTGGAAACGGCGCGCCGCACGTTACTCGTAACAACTCGCGCGTAATAGGGTAGGGTAGGGTACTACTACGTGCCCTGGGATCGCACTGCACTCACAAGTGACACATGCAGGTACACACAGCGCGCCCGCTCGTCTCCGACTGGCCGAGACTGAGACCCGGAGCGACGATATTTCTGATCTTACGCAACGTACGCGCGCTACTCGACGCTACACAGCTTCGTTCAGGGACGCGTCGTGGTGCTGAACATCGCGTTACCCGCTCGCCTACCGCACTGTCAAAATAAAACCTTCCTATTGCGAGCGAAACTGCCTCGATGTGACACACACTTTGGCTCTGGCACTCATCTTTCGCCTATGGCCTATGCCTATGCCTATGTCTTTGGTCACGTCGTCACGTCACGCTCGTCCGATTCCCGATTCCCGATTCCCGACGTTGCTTCGGAGTTTCGGAGCTTTCGGCCACGATCGCGACGCCGTCTATCGACCAATCAGCCGCGACAACGCCCTTGACCATTGGGCCAAGCGCGCGCGCGATTGGACGAAACACTTCCACCAATCACGACATTCGACGCTGTCGTCGTCCGAAAAAGAAAAAAAGACGTTATTCCGAGTTCGATTCTGACACTCTATGTTGTCCCGTTAATACATGCCGTACGCCGTACTGCCGTATAGAATCTATAGAATACAGAGCGTCGGCCAGCAGCCAGCGGAGTGATGCCGTGATGTTTTTATAATGAGATATTGATATTTCACGCTTTCTTCTTTTGAGAGTATCTTTATAGTTTCTACGTCCTTTTTTTAATTTTCCTCTTCTCTCCCTTTCTCTTTGCTACATCTGATTGCTACATCTATAGTATATTTTTTTTAATTACAGAAAATGCAGTAAAATTTATTAGAAAATATCTGACGAACTTTGTGTGTATATATATATGTGTGTGTGTGTGTGTGTGTGTGTGTGTGTGTGTGTGTGTGTGCGCGCGCGTGCGCGCGCGTGTGTGTGTGTCCGTGTCCGTAAAAGAAAAAGAATATTTTAAGAGAGATATCGTCGCATTCGACACATATTTGTATTATTTATTATATTTGCTTTACAAATATTCATCATCAATTTCGATTTTGACGAAGATAAATCTCTAGAAGATAATCTCTGTGATTCATTTCAGAGAAATAAATAAGTTACAATAAATATGTGCTAGAGAAATGTGCAGTATTCTAGAATTTGTAAAATAATAAGAAATTATTTATTATATTAACACATTTATATGTATATATTTTCAGAGCTTTTTTAATATTTACATATTTTTTCTTGATATTTATATATTTATATTTCGCGAATATAATTTTTGAAATAAAGGGTCGATGTAACTCGAAACTCAATATCGATAATATTATCGCACTCCTTATCAGCGCGCATATATAGGGCAATATTTATCTCTTTTATTCTATTTTAAAAAATATTGGCTTATAATAAAATCTTGTATCTTTTTCTTTATTAAAGATTAAAGATTTAAATAAAACTACAAAACATATCTTACTAAGCAATGACTCACATTTTCGGCATAAAACATTCGTCGTAAAATGACGATGACTCGATGATTTGGTTATGCTTGTTGAATTACATGCGATATGCGATACGTAATTCGTATTTAGTTTGTCGTTTCACGTCCGCATGACACATCGTGTAATAAAAAATGATTACTTTTAAATACCCATATCATTGATATTTTATTGATAAAGTCACTCAAAGTATAAGGGTGAAATCCAATATCACATAGTAAGAGTCGATGTAATCGTATCTTTCCAAGTACATTATCATCTTTCTCTGTATTTTTTATTGTAATCATCACAATAGTGCCACTAGTATAGCCAATAGTATATTTTATCTCTTTTTCTTTTCCTCTGTGAAGCTACGTACAGTGTATCTTATGTAAAATGGCATATATGGAAAAATTACCTGTACTAGAAGGAGCAAGAGTAATTGTTATAGATGAAGGTTGGTTATTTTTTAATCAAATACTTAATCTGAATCAAAACAGTTTATATATGTCTTGCAAGTCAGAAAAGTACTAATTATCTTACAGGATTAGATGTAATGTATGCAGGAACATTAATAGCTGGATGGCTGCATGCGTGGAAGGAGAAGGATCCTAACTATAGTATAGATTTATTGTCATTTTCTGATCCAACATTTTGGTACGACAACGAACCTACACCACTTACATCCAAGAATATACATTTATACGATTATTATACTATAGATGTAAACAAAGTTGCAAAGAAAGATATAGAAAATCTTGAATGTATACTTAAAACTATCAAGTTGAAACCTCGGAATATAGTTATTGTCAATTGCTTGAGTTCCTTAATTCTATACGCAGGTCTAGCAAAGGCTCTATCGTTCATAGAAAAATTAAGTAAGCAGGTGTCGCAACTTATATGCATTTATCGGAGAGATATTATACAGAAAGTTCCCGCAATTGAAACTTTGGGTACTACTTATGTTAAGCTAGAGAAATTTACCGGAATTAGCTCTATAAATGATTTAATTTACACTGCAAGGCTCATCCATAGAAAATTGGGTAGTTCTATAGTATGTCAAACAGAAATAATAAAACAGGAGAGTACATCTTATCGGATTAACGCTGAGAAGATTACAACGGTAAATTTTAGCAAGTCAGAAGCAAATGGAAGTCACGCGGTGAAAATTGAATCATCATTTAGAATAGAGATGAATGCTCGAGAGATGGAACAAAGAAACAAAACTCCTTTACCTTACACTCTTAATACAACAAATACATCCAGAATATTTTATCATCCGGATCATATAGATGATATAGATGAGGACGATCCTGATGACGATCTGTGTTTCTAAATTTATAAGAATTCAGATTTATACATGGACTATATGATTATAATAATAATACATATTTTTTATATAAAATAAAACTATTGTATTTTATATATTTTATTGTTATCCAAATATTTTTTTAGAGCATCCAGTATATATTTTACAATAACGAAAAGAAAAGGAAATAATTTTGTGTGTCAATAAATATTTGCAATTATAATTGTCGTGTATTTATTACTTGTCGGCATACATAGTATATATAAATATTCATTTTAATAAACAATTGAATAATACATGATAGTTTATTATAAAGGAAAAATCAGATAACGTCTCAGTCTAATAAAAAATTTTGGGCTATTATATTCATTGTATAATCTTTACTCGTGGCTATTTCTCATCAGACATATTTTTCATGCTCAGCAATATAAATTATCCAATTCTCTCTCTCTCTCTCTCTCTCTCACTCTCTCTCTCTCCCAAGCCTGATGACGATCTGTGTTTCTAAATTTATAAGAATTCAGATTTATACATGGACTATATGATTATAATAATAATACATATTTTTTATATAAAATAAAACTATTGTATTTTATATATTTTATTGTTATCCAAATATTTTTTTAGAGCATCCAGTATATATTTTACAATAACGAAAAGAAAAGGAAATAATTTTGTGTGTCAATAAATATTTGCAATTATAATTGTCGTGTATTTATTACTTGTCGGCATACATAGTATATATAAATATTCATTTTAATAAACAATTGAATAATACATGATAGTTTATTATAAAGGAAAAATCAGATAACGTCTCAGTCTAATAAAAAATTTTGGGCTATTATATTCATTGTATAATCTTTACTCGTGGCTATTTCTCATCAGACATATTTTTCATGCTCAGCAATATAAATTATCCAATTCTCTCTCTCTCTCTCTCTCTCTCACATATATCTCAAATATATTAATGCAGAATAAAAAAAGTAGAATGCTCAAATGTTTGATATTTGCGGAAGTAGTTTAAAAATACTTTCTATATATACTTCTCTGTCTTCTTTGATTTTAATCATTCTTTTCTCATCATATTTACAACACATCTTTAATTAAATACATTATACTAAATAATTCAGATTTTTGTATAAAATTAGCCTTCTTGTGCTAAAAGATTTCTTATGTCAAACTGTGTATATCAAGAGTGCAGTATGTAATATACTAAACACAGCCTTTACTCATTTTATATATAATTATAGCAAAAATAGTTTTAAAAAACGCTATTTAATACTGATACTGCTTTTCAATAAATAATAGAAATACATTATTGTATTATGCAATGAAGTTTTATGCCATGTTTCATTAACGTAAATATTTCAAAAGATATTTCTCTTTTCGAAATTTTTTCATGATATTTTCGAGATGTCCTATACAAATTATGCCACATAAATAAAATTATATCTTATATTGAAATAACTATGTGCAAATAAATTAACTATATAAATAATCTTTTGTGCTTGCATTTAAATAATTTAAAACACACATATAGTCAAATTCTAGTCACATATTCTCATGATCAATTCAGAAAAACTAAATTCATCTTTCCCTTTGCAGTATTTTGATACTAATTTGTTATTATTTTTATATGAATGGTAGAGATTTTTCTTTCTGAAAAGAAAATTAAGAAGAGAAAGATTGCTCAATCTAGATGAATAAAGAATACGTAAGTTCGACTATATAATATAAATAATCTTAGTTCAATCATTTCTTACAATCGTTCCCCTTATTCAAATATTCAATATTTAAAATATTGATAGGAGTAGAGCTAGTTTGTCTCGTCGAAAACATTTAAAAATTTAACTATACGTTGAACGTATATAGAAGATTTTGATCATAGAAGTGATGTGTACCATCGACATGTTGTAGGACTCTACTCTCTAATAAACAACGACCATATCGGACAGCTTCGTCTCGACTGTTGACAATTCCAACTTCGAGTAACCAGTTGACCAAATCCGATCCCGAAAAGACTCCTTTATATACCTTCAACAATCGCCTACGGCACATAGATATACGTGCCCGACATGCCTCCAAGTGACATTGATTAAATTGTTCTCGGACTGCCCTTACTTCTGTACTAAGAGCATCCTCGCAAGGTAACTGTAATTCTTTTCCTGTCAATATATTAAATATTATAAAATATTATCAAAAATATATCAATCAATAAGTTAATTGGCTATAAAAAATTAACTTATGTTAGGGATCTAAATTTATATAATACTTCTTATTTTGATATCTGCATCTTGTAATATCTATAAATTTACACGCAGAAATATATATGAACTTGTGCATAAATATGAAATGTATATAAAATGTATTATATGTCATAAGGATCATACCAGATTGCCATTTTTTGCACACTTTTCGAAGCCAACCTCCCAATTTACCCAAACTAGGATCTAGTCCAAAGATGGCAAACGCTATTAGAGATTGTCCAAAGTTCAATGCTACATCCAAGAATGCAAGTTCAGCATAAATGCCAGTTAACTGCTCCATTATTAATGTTCCCACAGATATCGATAAACCCTATAATATGTCAGTGTTGATTTCGCATCTTTATAATGTCTAATAATAAGTGATAAAAGTAATTTACGCACAATAAACATGGAACACAGCAATAAGATAAGGAAAACGAGATGTCGCAAAATTTGTGGATCATTATCTGTATCTGTGCCATTTTCTCTATCACAATCTCTCTCTACATCATTAACTCTGCATTCTCCATTCGGACAACCATTTTGAAATTCACAGCCAATTCTAAAAAAATATTGTTTATAAATAATTTGCAAATTTCTATTTATATGTTTCCGTTTTTGATTAACTTACATAGGTGCATTAATTAATGGAGAAATTAAATCTTCCACATCTACTATACTTCTTTCATTACTTTCGATTGTAGTATTTTCTGTATTATTTCTTATATGTTCATATGACATTGTGATGTGCCTTCTTTGATATCTCTGTTGTAAGACCAAACAACCTAATGTCACTATACAGTATAAAATAATTATTAAAAAATTCGTATTACAATAAAGATATTAAATACGTCCTCATATATAGTAACATAATATAATAATAATAATTTAAAACATAAATGTTGCTAAATGTTAAGAATATAAATTAATATCTTTTGTTATAATGTACCTATAAAGCAAAATATTAATATAAATGAAGATGCAGCAGCTTGAGTTCTGCTCAATTGAAAATTCGGATTTTTTAAATCAAGCTCAGATGGAGTTTGTGTAACAATGCACATTACTGTCACCATCAGAAGTGGTATTCTGCAAATTAATTATTATACATTGTATAAATAAATATAGAAATATTTGTATTTAAATTAAAAACTAATGAGAAAAGCTCTCATATCCATACCCCCATCCAATAGGATAAAACCATTTTTGCAGATTTTCAACAAAGGATAACGAGCGTGAACTCAGAAATAGTAATGTTGCTGCAATTGCAGCCGTCCATATTCTGCTTGCATATACACCAGTGGTTATTAAAATGAACTGCACGTACCTATAATTAATAAAACAATTGAAAATAAAATTTTATTTAATAGAAAATGATTGTATGCAGTTTTTATTACCATAATGTTGATCGATTACCGCTTGGGTCAAGTTTTGACCAAATAATCACACCAATCACTGCTGCGAGCTAAAAAATATATTGTATACGTGAAATTAAACTAAGAAACATATCTTAATTTGTTATATATATATATATATATGTATACAAATCTGATGGAGAATTATATAACTCAGAAACGTGACCAAAAATAGATATATATATATATATATATATACCTGTGCAATTACAAGACACAGAGTGCATCGATGAGTGACTTGATTATATCTTTTCCGTCCAAATCCAAGGAAACATATCAACAGCCATATACAAGCTATTACTGACGCAACGCTTATGTCAAAGGAAAAAATATTTAATTGTTGTGCATAATTAGCTGGTGTACTTCCAGCATAAACTGCGTTGACCACTTTAGCCGATACAAACATAAGTGGAGCAGAGAGAAACGTACAAGCTACCATCGCTGACGCGATTAGATCGATTTCCAGATTGTATCGCAAAGTGAAAATAAACAAAGCCGGTGCTGTCGGGATAGTACCGTACAGGAAGCCATAAGTACTCAAATTTCTCGTTTCTGTCAAGTTATCTCCGGCATTCAAGAGAATAATGGATTCTCTTATGACTAGAGGCAGGACTAGCAGCTTCACCGAGATCAATATACCCGGAATAACTAGCGCAGTACCTTTCAATTTGTGTATCTTTCCTACCATCATTGAACCAAGAAGGAACAATGCGCTAGCGGAGAAAGCGTTACCGAATACTTCGAGAATTGCGGCTAGTAAGCGCGGTATGCTGTGGCTAAATATAAGATTGCCTATAATGCCCAAGACTGTCATGAACAGTACTGGATTCAGTACAACACCTTTTACGATGGAATAAACCATGTCCCTACAATTTGTGTGCTCCTCCACGCGTCGCTTGCCTATTTCCAACAATACGAAACCAATCGGATTTAAAATGGCCAGCGATATAGGCGCCATCAGATATAGATAAGCAGCATATTCTGGATGTGTTCTTCCATACAAAGCATTAACTAAAATGGCAATATTTAGTGTGAAGAAATATATTAAATAATATAGAATAGTGTGGAATTATGCATAAATATGATATGATAATTCTATTGTTCTCACTCATTGGATATCCAATAGCAAAATCATTGCTTTGAGTAGTAAATATTGCAAAGAGTGCAGCGCGTCCAGGATTGGATGGCTTTTTAATTACTAATGACACTGCGAGTACTGTAACAAACACACAGCCCTTAGCAAGCAATACAGCGAGTAGAAATTTCCAATTAACCAATGTGAAATCAAGTTTTGCCAGAGACATGAAGATTAGCGATGGCAAAGCAAAAGTGCCCACAAAAGTGTTCAGGCCATTTGCTTCGGTTTTTGTCATCATACCGAATCTTCCCGCTAGATATCTGTGAAATACATATTTTCATTATTAGTATAAAATCTTTAATTAATCATTTAATCTATGTATATTCAACATGTGAAAAAAATTAAGAACAATATTGCAGAGTCTGGGAAAGATTGAAGTATATATTCAAATCCTTAATAGTTTCTTATTTCACTGTTCAGATGAACAACTGATAAATGCATTTATCTATTTTCTTACCCACATAGTATAATACCAAAGCATTGTATCAATGCAAGATATAAATTATCTGTTGGTTCATCCTCGGTTTCTGCGTATTGATTTGTGCTCAAAGATAAAGATGTTGATAATTCTTGATCAATCTGAAATTAAAAAAAAAAAAAGTACACAAGATAAGAGGTGTCTTATATAATATAAATTTGCAAGCAGTGCAATAAAAAAAAGCATCAATTTATTTTATATCTGTAATATATATACCATTTTGTCTACTATATCAATAAAACTATCATCTCTTTAACATATCGTACGTAGTGTTGTAAAAGTGGTCCTCTTGTATAATAAACTCGTATGAAGTTTTCATATTTCCATTAATATTAACAAAGGATACGCTGTTTTAAAAATACACGAACAATCTGTAATCACACAAGAGTTTCTTCTTTAATTCTAATTCTTCCATATTCTTATTTTTTTACGTTCTAATATAGATTTATTAATAACATATGTTTAGAGGAAGGAAAATCAACAATTATGAAATATTATATATTTCAATATGTGCACACATGCAAAAATATAAAATTTATATAAAACTGTAAAGTATTCTGTTGACAGAGAAAAGGTAAGTTATTTCAGGCAATCATAGCAATCTACGTTTTTGACAACTCGATCATATGTGATTTGACACTTGATCGCACGACTACCTAAAACGTCACTGTATGTGAGAAATATCGGTCAATCGGGATACATATTTTTCCGGTCTGAAAACGCGCTAAAGGAGCGGAAAGTTCCCGAGTCCCAGCGAACGCTATCCGTTATCTCAATATTAGCGACGAGAAATGAATAAAGATTGCTATCAATCATTACGCTCAAGGACAAAGTCCGGCATAGCGTAAGCCATTCATGGCACGCACATCACAGGTGATACCGCGCAGTCGCGAATATTGGCGGTCTCAATAAATGCGCAAAATGCATGGCGATTGGCTCTTCGCGCATCATATGATCCGCTCTAGGTAATCACGTGTCCAGGTATAACCAGCTGAGTAAGTTTTTAAAATGTGACAGAGAGAAAATATATGATCTGTTATATTTAAATATTTATTATAATGTTTTTGTTCTCTCTTTCTTTTACAATTTGTACATACATATCCCAAATTGAAACGTGTAGTATCGATAATTTTTATAAATATTGTTTAATATATATAATATATCTTCATATATATTTATACATTTGAATTATAAAATTTATGTATAACATTTATCTTGTGTAACATTTATCAGTTTTGTCTTTTCAGACAAAATGTTATATGTTAGATTATCGAAATTGGAACATTATATATATATATATATATATATATATCATCATCCAGTTAGATTTTTATACTTCGCTGCTGGCGACTTTTTTATATATTTCATGTGAATTTGTATTTTTTTTTAATAATCTATTCATTTTTTGAATCTTAATTTTTTAATTTGAATGTATTTTATTCACGGTCATCCGTTCACTTTAGCTTTTTATAATCTTATCCTTCATTACATTATTACGGATATATTTTCTATTTAAAGATGTAACAATTTTATTTTAATTATATAAATGCTTCCATATTACACTTACATCATGTTTCCATCCTTTTAAATAAATCCAGATATTAAAATATTCAATGTACACGTGCGTCTTGAACATATATATGTACGCACTCATCAAATCATATATATATATATGTATATATAGCAGTAAATAAATCAAAATAAAAACTATTCGATAACATGATACAAATGATGTAAATAACAAATATCATTAAAGTATCGTAAAGACGTCTAATCTTTCAGATAAGTGCGACTTTTTCTCTTCTAGAATATACTACTGCGTAAAAGTATATTTTAAATGAGTTTTTGATACGCAATATTTATTTACACTCATCGCGCCAGTTATACGCAGAAATGTTGGAGAATACATATATATATATACAGACTGATGAGAAAATAATTTGCGTTTAACCGCGTTTAAAGCGTTTTAGTTTTAACGTATGCTGGCTCTTGCTGCTCTGAATATTTTTTGTAAATATATTTTCATCTGAAAGAAATAATGTATTGTATGACATAAAAAAGCAAAATTTACAAAAAAATGTACGTTAGTTAGATACGTGTTAATGACACGTAACATTATATATCGAACGATATCATGCTCACGTATATCATATTATCCACTCGATGAAATTGCGCCGCAATTTTACAATTCAACGACATATTGCAAAACATACCGCTTTTTCATACAACTTTTTCCTTGAGCCATATAATTTCCAACAAGCACTTTTTCGCATTCTTCGGCCACGCCAACGCATGTTGTTATTCACGCTTACGTAAGCAGCTCGATGTATGTAATTGCAGTCCTATACTGATATTTATATAGCAGAGGTGCTTCATTTGATTGTCGAAGTCGCATATCGCTGAGGATCTTGTATCTAGGTTTCTTCGACGACACATAAATTCCGACTAATTCCTATTCATCGAATAAATATGCATTCGACGATAAAAGAAAAGAAAACTGTAAACAAATTGTCTACAATTAGTATAAAACCGTTGAACGTGTGTTGAAAAAAAAGATACCCGTCTATTTAGATTTTAGAAAAAGGCTAATTCGATGATATTTTTTTCTATATTGTTTTTTTTATCTTTGATAAATTTTAAGATTTCAAATTTCAAATGGGAAAAGAAAACACATTGTGTACAAGAATATTTATTATATAGTATGTACTATTACTAAGCATTACACCGATCTTGAATATTTTAAACCGAAACTATTGAATGATACCGAATGGCGGAAATAAGCCTTGTTTCGTATGTTTACGAAAAAGATTGCAATGATTAATTATTAATGTATGTATCTCTGTGTGGCGAACGGTAAATGCGTCACTATGACTATGCATGAGTCATACATGACTCCGGATGTGAAGCACGGTACAAAGAACCGCTTTATCAATCAACAGATTTGCAACGGATGTCTCGAACAATCGCTCTTATTAGATAACAAATACTGGGAAAATTTTCTCAAATCAGTCTTTTTAATAAATTTCTATTATCAATTTGGGTAATTAGAGATGTTGATTATTCATAAGCAGCTTTAGAATATATATATATATATATAATATATATATATATATGTATGTATATAAAAATAACATGATAACGTAACAAATATTATATTTGCCTAGAATATTTGCTAGTAATAAAGTTAGATAATATTTTAAATCTGTCAATGTGACGCGATGAATAACGCATAAAGCTTTACGCGCGGACTTAGTTCTTGCGCAATATTACAAAAGAATGCCTCCATTTGATTCCGACACGCTAGCATACGCTAGCTCTAATAAATACATAAACGGAAAATATATTCTACGCAGTAGACGAAGGAGAGCGTGGCAATTGGTTCATATCCAATTCTCATGAGCGAATATTGCATTACTGCGCCGTAGCTTTAATCGGGTCATACGATAATCACGTGGACGATAGTAAGCATATTTAACTGTTTGGGTTTGGAGAGGTCCGTGACATGGCTAGAATCTCGTCGATCGAGCAATTTTAAGATCGTTTCGATACCATATCGTTGATAAAATATACATAGGCATAGAACGCGAGCACGTAGCAAACAATGTCACATAAAAAAATCAAAGTTTTAAAATACTATACAAGAATCCGTTTCTCCGTAGAGAGAAACATTATGCCAGCTGGCGAAACTTGCAACCGTCCATCGCAGATGTGTTCGTCTCTTAATCCCGAATACGAGGGTATATATCCGTGATGAGAGTTATTCGCGTAAAAACTTGCGCAAGCAAACTCTTGTAATGATTTATGATTTTGGCAACTTCCGCAAAAACATTGCCTATAACGTATGTAACGTACGTGTGAAGAGCGGCTGCGCTAATCAAAGTCGCGTAATCGCGTGTGACGTTCAAGGTCTTTCGAAATAGCCGCTGACGATGAAAAAGACGCGCGAAGTAGAATGAAAACGCGAGGAGTTACCCGATACGGGTTTTTTCCATCTCCGAAGAAGACTAATCAAAGCTACGATAAACAAATTAATAATAAAAATTATTTAAAAGGTTTTTAAAATAATTATTTAAAACACGCTAATCTTGGACGAGTCTTATTCTTTTGTAATCTTTGTTGTTCATTTTTTTATATTTTATATCGGCGCTGTTTTTTTAGCAATAAAATCTATCTCGCTTTTTCATTCTTCATTATTAATTCCTGTAATCGTAGAAGCGACTGTCATCGGTGATTGTGACGTCACAAACATATGATACGAACAGCTGAGAAATAATTTCGAGAGGCACGACGCCATCGACCAATCACATTCAAATCTGACCTCATTCCTCCATCATCACCATAAATCCCTATCTTTTAAGATCATGAAATTATCTGCTACGTAAGAAACTAGCCGAAGTTATTTCTTACATCTATATAAACATAACATATGTACATGTATCCATAACGAAGGAAAAAAGAGGGATATATATATATATATATATATATTTTTAGGATGTTTTCTTACTGTAAACGACCTTTAAAATCTAAATTATTACCCGAGATCTCTTCAATCATACACTTGAGCGATATATCTCGCGTAAACAACACAAATTCCTGACAACAAACTTCACTATACGTAAGTATATTCCGGGAAAAGAGTTTATATATAATTACGTTTTCTATTTGATTATGCATGGATTTTTTTCCGGTTAATTTAAGATAATTTAATCATTTTTGAATAGATGTCTAATCGAAAAAACTTGTTCTTTAAAACAGTGCGAGTAAAAAAACCAAAAGATTAAACTACAGTAGCAAAAAAAAAAAAAAAAAAGAAAGAGAGAAACAAAAGTTGGCAAACATTTTATCAGCGCGAGATAATTGCAAGTGTGTGGTTTTATCGGTGAACTTGGATGAAGAATGATGGTATCGCAATCACGTGGAGAAACGCGCACACATAAGCATGTCTCGATGGGCGAAGCGGGTGAAGCGGGTGAAGCGGGGACGATCTAAAGACAGGAGCAGAGGGGGAGGGACGGATAGAGAGGGCCGCTGAGCAACATATATAACCCTTACGTCCGCGTCCTACCTCTCAGTTCTACTTGGAGATCGGACACGTGAGTCTCCGGAACATTGCTCGCGAAGAGAAAGTTTTTGTTTGTTTGGTGCGCTCGTTGTATGGGTAAGTGTTGGATGAGAAAGACGCGCGATGCTCGATATCGAGATCCGTGTGAGTTAAAAATATTATCCAAATTTATTACCGAGCTTATCGAGATTTATATTTAAGAAAATACACGCGCGAATGTGCGTGACGTTCTGTTTTGAAAATCCTTTCCTTACAAAAGAAAAATTCTCACTTTTTTTTTCGAGGTCTACGAATCATCGATGATTCACATCCATATGTAAGCGTTAACGAATTCGACAGCGCGGAAGAGAGTGAGAGAAAGCGGCTTGTCAATCAGTCTCTTTATCGCAAAAAAAAGTCGACGAGTTTCTTTCGATTAAAAGAAAAGTCGACGTAGTATTCTTTTCTCGTCTTTTTTCCTTTCTTTTCTTTTCTTTTCTTTTCTTTTCTTTTCTTTTCTTTTTTGACACTTGACGATCTTCAGACTGTGTACGATAGATTTTGACAGGTTGGTCGTCTTGGCGAGCGATTATCTCCCGGTTGTGATCGAAGGCGAAAGTTTTCGTAGAGTATCGCGGATCGCGACGGAGAAAATTCCTTGGACGAGAAAGAGCACGGATAACGGATTGTCCCGTTCGGATCGGTTCGGTTCTCTCTCCCTTTTTTTTTTTTTTTTTTTTTTTTTCCTCAAAGAATCTTGGCGCGGCAAACGACGAACGACGAACGACGAACGACGCAGCGCGTATTTAGCGGACGGAATCGCAGATCGCAGACGTGACAACGAAGGTCGCCAGTAGACACGTGGCACGCGCTACGTATCTATTTGGTCGCGTATAGTCGTGTATTGATTCACCACGCGCGTCCTCTGAACCTATATACCGCCATGTTGGATACCGAACCGATGACAAATTCAATCCGCCTCTCCGCACTAATTTCGCAGATCTTCACCGTGCTGATCCGTGTGCTCAAATAGCAGTGGACTTGCGGTAATCACCTACGTAAATATGGTTATTTCTTTCTTACGCGAGATAGCCCGAGTGACTGAAAGAATTAACACCAATACCTCATTACGATGTTGCGCGGTAGCGTTACGTCACGATTGAAATCTGTTATCTGTCTGTGTAAAGAATATTACGCTCTGTGTACATCATATATCATATCACATTGAATCATAATCCAAAGCAGGAAATTTCGTTTTCGTGAAATTGCAATTGGGAATATATTTTGATAGATTTTTGACAATCTTTTTGACAACCGCGAGAACGCGTTATTAGGTCTACTCTACTCGTTGCACTTTTTACATTGTCTTACTTTTTTCTTCAATATCAATATATAAATATTTCCATAAAATACACCTCTTTAATTTTGAATACAGAAAACACGAGAGAAAGTGCAACTGGAACAAAAATCCTTAAAATAATATAAAAATAAATATACTATTTTATAATAAGCTGTCGCTGAAAAGCAACACTTTCACAAAAGACTCGCAATGCTTAATCTCTATCGTTTCATTTTATAATAACTTAAAAACTTGAACGCGTTTTGTAATATTTACGTATGCATAGAGCGAGAGAAGAGTATAAAACACGGAGAGAGCCCTGTGGAGCCAATAAGCAGCTGCAGGGACGAGCATGGCTTTGTGCCAACGGTTGGTCGCTGGGGCAACGAATGGCCGAGTTGACTCGAGACGGCAGAGATATGGTGCCAGCCACAGGGGCAGGCACGCGGGCCCTGGATCAGGGGTGTTCCGCTACCCCTGCCGGTCTGGGCCCATTACGAGTCACCAGCCCTGACCGTTTCCACGGTCGAACAGTATGAGGAATTAGCAGGCAGCGTTGAACTTGAAACGCAACGCTTATTGCGTGAGCATCGCTATGATACTATTGGTAATTTCCTCAGGTATGTAACGCAATCTCTCATCTTAATCATTCGTCTTTACGTAATTAAAAATACAACGAGCAATAACGACAACAGGTTCTATAAGGACTATATTGCAAGCGGAGAGAAAGCACTGGATCGATTTTACCGAAAATATCAGCCTCTAATAACACATGAACACCATACTTGCGTCGGTCTTGGATTTGAATTATTACATCGATTAACAGATTTGAACAAGCGATTCCCAGGAATAGCGAGTGGCCTCTACTTAGTATCTTGTGAAGAAGTATGTTTGACATATTTATAAAAATATAGATTATAATTAATACTCTAACAGAAGTGTTATCGTAGTTAAAAGCGCAAAATATTTTATTTTAACACCGATAAAACTATAATATATTATGGATATAGCATGATATTCAATGCTCTTGCATAAAGACATAATTTGAATTTTATCAATTAATGTTTTTGTTTTGTTAATTTTTTTTCCTTTTTCTTTTTTTTTTGTTTTTTGTTTTTTTTTAATGTTAATTTATGAGAAAAATCAATGTGTTACAGACGATTGGAGATATCGCCGGTTATGTCGGTGGTCCACCAGCGGCAGATAGCGGCGAAAAGGAGCATGTATTAGTGTGCCTGAAAATCGAGATTAGCGGACGTCGCGGCGTCATGCTACTCGATCCCGGTTACCATGTTGCGCGCGTTATCACTGTGATGGCCGATAAGTTATACCCTCATACAGGCTGGTTCACGCAATCCGATGAGCCGACTTGCAAGAAAGAGTACAATTACTGTCTGTGCGCTGACGATCCTGATTATGTCGAATGGCATGAAAGAAAAATTCAACCTGGTGCCTTGGAGAGAACGCAAGTCGCTCTCATTTATGTGGCAAGGCCATATTTAACTGCCATTGACGTTACGGAGCGTAGAAACTTGGTTTATAATCACAGAAGTCTCCTTGCCAGAGATACTAAGGGTCATGTTACTGCCGGCATATATTTCTCCGTTATACTAGACATGAACGACGCACAGACCTTCACAATTTTCTATCAGACTGGTAATGGGAAAAAGCGAGTCAAGATGGCATTTAATAAATTTTGCGATTCATATAAGGTACAGTTCTTGATATTAATTAGTACTAAAATCAATCAAAATGGAAAATTGTTGTTTTGACGAAATGTAAAAATAGCAAAATTTATCCTTTATTTTAGGTAAGTCCTAACGCTGAGGAAATAGAGATATTAGCGGAATGCGCACGACAACTTGACATTTCGCAAGATGCTTTGAAGGACATACTCTTTGCCCTAGCTGCAATCATGAGCGATTCGTCATTTGTGGCGCAACTATTGGCTATTAATGCGAGAATCAACACCTTAGCAGAGGCAAATTAACAAACAGAGGTTATTCTACCCAACATAGCGTCACAACATTATGTTTCATTATTTTTTTGCCAGCTTTCCTCATGTTCTTTTTCTTTTATATATTATATATTTTTCATACTTTATTATCTGTTCTTTTACTTGTGGTTACATTTTATTACAATGTTTGTATATCTGTAAATATACAAATGAGTCATGTAATCTTGTAAAAAGTACTTTTACACATATAGATTAACAAGATAAATTGATTTAAATGTAAAAAAAAAAAACAATTATTTAAATTAATTAAAAAGAAAATTACACAAATTGCATGTACAAATTGTATATTGTACATCGATGCACAAAAATACGATCGCCGAAATTTATTATTGTACATAAAACTATTAATCATCAATTCCATAAGAGATATGTCTCGTTTGAATTACATGACTCAAATTTGTATATAACAAAGCATTGTTTTCTTATGACTCGTAAAAAAATTTTTTCCAAATTTCTGCCACTGATATTGTATTTTATTTACATATGCATTTCAATGAAAACATTAACATATGTGATCAAGTGGCATGTTTATAAAGCACACATATATGATTTTAAGTTTAATAATTTTATATTTGTTTCTTTTGTTCAGAATACAGGCAAAGCCTAATAATCTAATTTTATGTTAAGATACATTTAAAGTGTTTTTAAATATTACTTCGCTTTTTTATATTTTACTATTTTATTTTACTTGGATACTATAAACTTTCATATGCTATATGCTCATATATTAGCATTCTATGCTAATATAATAGATCAGTGTGATAATATTTTCATTGAGTAATTGAACTAAAGCAAATTATAGATTACTATATATTTATGTAGGTGGGACTACACTAAAATTGTATTTATACAAGGGATGATTTTGTTTTATCATTTCTTCTTTAGAATAATATACTATGTATGTATATCTTTCAATTGTGAACAGTAAATTGACTTTATTTGAATAAATGATTTGACAAACAAGATATTGTATCGATAATACTCGACCTCGATAAATGTACTTTAAAATTATAAACTTCTTACACTTCTCCATTGATGAGAAGTTGGTTATACAGGACATTTAAGGTCTAGAACATATTTGAAACGAGAAATCATTTATTTCCTTTTTCTTTATATTTTTGAATATTCCATGATACAATAGTGAAATTAATGTCGATGATAAACTGGGTGGTCAGTAAGGATGTAACATGTATCTTGATTACATAAGAGAGTGTTTCATTCCACATTTAAACTACATTTTTTATATATCAAATCTCAAAAATTAAATCTAACAAAACTTTAATTTATAACTGTCCATAGATATTATCGCACTTCTTAAACGGAATTGTATTTTCTTATCCCTACTATATCCATACATCTCCGACACATCTAATAAACATAACATTTTTAAAACAGGATACATTTGAAGAAAAAATGCTACATAATCTCCTTTAATATCTTTATAAACAAAAGAAAAATTCACGTTATAATTTTTTTAAAATTTATTTTTGTTTTAAATTTTTATAATGAAAAATGTAACTGAGATTAAACCGTCGGTTAATCTAACCGGACTTTGTGAAATTGGCCCTTAGGGTGCCGTGTAACAGAGCTCATTTACACACAAATCTATTCGAATAAATTATTCATATACAAAATAAAAAATTTTATTGCAACTATTTAAATGATATATATATATATATCAAAATATTAATATTTTATCAGAGAGAGAATGAGAGAACAGAAAGCTGCAGAAAAAAATTAATGGAACATTTTCTAAGAATGTTAATGATTACGAAAAAGCACAATATATTCCTAGTCTGTTTAATTTAAATTTCGTTACATGAGATTTTATTATAGGTTGCAGATAAAATATGTTGCAGATAATAGTTTAAAATATTCTAGTCGTCACTATCGGATACAGCTTGGTGACGCTTATTACTAACTTGTCTATCTGGTTTATGCTCGCGCTTTCGAGATCCTGATGCAGACGGTGATGCCGATAACACTTCAGCTCTCGAAGATGTTGCAGATTCTGGAGGCTTGAAGCTATAAACATATAACAAATTAACGCCTTGATATTTTTACATAAAAATAAGAAAGGAACAAGTCTAAAAAGAAAGATGAAGCATAAATATTCTTCACAGCAGAATTATTATTGAAAATTGTACAACTTCTAAGTGCGATAAAAAAAAAACAAACAAGAAACAAAAATGCAAGCGGAATAAGCAAATCATGCTCCTGTCTTATAATAAGATAAAATTGCTATTATATATTCTGCCAATTACATTTTCGCTTGAAGATAAGGGATATATACATATATTCTCATATAAGTGATATTTCAAGAATGTATGTATGTTTGCAAGCTAATATGAAAAAAAGCACAGCATTTGTTACAACTATTCATTAATATTGGAAAATATTTAGTAATAAGACATGTCATATATTATTTTGGATTATGGTTGATACAAGGTATATACAAGAAATCTAATACAAATAACAATAACGTACAACTATTATTATATTTAATTAATTTATTATTATATTTAATTAATGTTAATATTGACTATAAATATCACCATTGATTTTGAATCATTCTGTAATCTAATGGTGAAAGAAGTTGCATTAATGCATAACATCTAACGTTTTTTCCTAATCTGTTGTATAATAGAATTAATTGTTCTCATTCCAAAAGTTGTGTGTGTGATATACATATACATATACATCCTAATACATCAACCTATTAAAGATATTATTAATCAGAATATGTTAAACAATTTGTAATTATAGATTAGTACCAAAAGTAAGATTGAAACGAACAAAACAAATAATAAATAATAGAACAAAAGGCAACGTACTTACGTTGCGCAAGTGTCACTGCTGTATATATTATGCTTTTAACTTATTAATATTTGCGGCTGTACCTGTAATACACATACAAGATGGTATATTCTACATCAATCTTAACAGAATTATTACATTACGAATTATGCATTCTATATATGACATACTGCAATCTTGATATGATTAAAACCACAGTATTGATAGCATACAAAAAAATAAAAGTAATAACAAAGATGCTAACTAATGTTAAATAATTAAAATCTTGCATTTCACTGTACTAATATGAATACTTTGTTGGAAATTATATGAAATTTATGGAAATCTTGTGAAATAGTGGAACAAGACTAATAATATTCTTAAAAAATGCTAAAAAATTGACTTAGAACTTAAAGTTTAATTTAGAAAAATTATACTTTTAAAAATGATATCTATAAGATATCTATTACACTTATAAAATTTAATTGCAAAGTATATGATGTCGCTCACACACATTAATAAAAAACAATAGTAAAATATATATAAATAATTATTAGTCACACACAGAGCACTGTTATCATTTCTCTACATATAAGCATTGCAATGCATTTTTCTTTCTTAATTTTAGATGATAATGTATGTACTGATGGAAGACAGATTTTCGATTTTTAAATTAAATGAAAGTAAATCGCTTATTTTCGCTTTTTTAAAGACACGCTTTCAAAGACAGAAATTGCAAGCTTTAATCTTAAATCCAGCAAGTAGTAATGGCAGAAATCAATTGAAATTAAACTTACCGTGTAGAAGGAGAAGTAGTATTTTTTACTTTGGAAGGATTTAAGGCCCTTATAGCACGTCTAGCACTGGGTATCCATCTTGTACCTTTATTAGAATGTCGACTACAAAAGCATATGACAACAGAACCAATATAAACAAAGTATATAAACAAAGAAAACTAAAAAAAATACTCTAACAGAAGAATAAGTAACAATACAATAAAATAATAAAAAGATACCGTATGAGACGAATATTTTATAAATCATAATTATCATCACATTGATCTTTTTTCTATATCAGTATTTGTTTATTAATCATCTTATTTCTCTCATTCGCGATGACAAGAGAAAACTACACAATAATAAATATGCAATAAAATATAATTTATTTAATCTAATTTGTGAAGAAAGGGATAGAGATTTTATTTTTCTTATAAATTTCAAAAATTTTCTCTCTCTACTGTATAAAATAATAGAGTAAAAATAAATGTTGTGATATAAAAACATCCATGCTCTTATAGTATATATTAAAAAGCAGACATGCATAAATCTATTTCAAAGCTGCATATACAGAGAAAGAAAATGGAAATATACAAAGTGGAAAACACATGACCAAATGGCAAAATCCTCTGTTTCTACTTATTATTTTCTGGTGTGCGTATCTTCTATTTTTTGCATCTACTGTGCAAATATCAAATTTGTCAATATAAGTATTGTCAATCGTTTAATGAATTATTTTCAAAGCTAATAATTCAATAAACAAAATTGACATCATAAGATTTTTAAAAATTTGACAATATATAATATAATATATAAATAATATGTAGAACAAAAAAGCTTATTAGGACACCCAATTATTCCAAATTAATCTATCTTTATAAATGCATAAAACTGCTAATATTAATTAGTTCTTAAAAATAATTTTCGATTATACTAGCTTTTTTCCTTCAGGATGTGATAAAATAGTATTCTATTGTGCATGTCAATATGAAAGATATAATACTAAATGGTGAAAATATGTAAACGTGAACAAAGAAATATTATACTAAAAAAAAGATACATGTATCATACAATCTTATAATTTCCCAATATGTATATATATAAGATTAGTTTTCATAATAATTCTCTCTATATATTTTAGTATGTTTTGAATTTAAAAAACTAACCTTGCTGATGGATCTGTGGTAGATGGTAAGGCCAACTGTCTTGGCTCTGGTCGATGCCTGCTGTTACTGACAACTCTAGCTGAATTTCCACTATCAATTGCACTAGTACGTACCCGCCGCGTATGTGATTCCCATTCGCGATTAAAAGTCTCTGCCTCTTCTATAATAAATACACAAATATATATAATTTGTAGAACAAAAATGTAAATCTAGAAATATGCAGTATATATATATATATATATATATATAATTTTTATAATTTTTGAAGCTACAAATTAAAATAAAATTACCTTCTTCAAGATTGATAAATTCCTGTCGTTCTTCCTCCTCACCATGCATATTACGTTCTCTTTCAAGGATATGTGCTCTGTCGCCTATGTGATGACCAATAGCCATTTTCCTTGTTCCAGTACGAGAATCACTTACTGTCTGTTTAGTTTCTTTTATGCCACCAGGTGCCATTCTGGTAGACATGGTTTCCTGGTAAACTTGTGGACGTCCATCGGGACCGTTGGACATAGTCATAACAGATTGACTCATAAACGAATGACAATTTCCATCAGTTGCCATGTTGTTCTAAAAATTAATTGTAGTAAGAGATAATTTTAAAGTTGTGTTCATGATTATTATTATTTAGCCAATGGCAAATGTTAATTTGATATCTAAAATTATACTTACAAAACCAAATCTTCCAAAATGTGGATCAAACAAGGAGACTGACATATCATTTTGAGATCCTCTACCATGATGGAGCATAAGAGCATTTTGCCCCATCATCTCAAATGGATTATGGAACATAGAGTTCATCATGCTGTTCATCTGCCTCATGGTATGCATGGAAGATCTGTTGATCATAAATTATAGTTCCAAAATTCATGCTTTTACTCTCAGATTTTTTTAATTTGAATATAAATAACGTAATAATTTATATTATCTTAAAACATATCAGCGTAATCAGGACAAAGATACAAAAGAAAACAAATGACACAACATAGACCGATTGCTATAGAAACCTTTACTTGATATTGATTATATTTATAAGAATTAAAAAAACAAGTAATTATTTTATGACATTATATATAGTCTTTTAATAATATATATAATTCTCAATTAATAATATTGTTGATATATATAAAGTATATGTTATTAAAATGCTACATATTATATCTTCTCTTTTTTGCAAATTTCTATATATATATATATAATTTTTATAATTTTTGAAGCTACAAATTAAAATAAAATTACCTTCTTCAAGATTGATAAATTCCTGTCGTTCTTCCTCCTCACCATGCATATTACGTTCTCTTTCAAGGATATGTGCTCTGTCGCCTATGTGATGACCAATAGCCATTTTCCTTGTTCCAGTACGAGAATCACTTACTGTCTGTTTAGTTTCTTTTATGCCACCAGGTGCCATTCTGGTAGACATGGTTTCCTGGTAAACTTGTGGACGTCCATCGGGACCGTTGGACATAGTCATAACAGATTGACTCATAAACGAATGACAATTTCCATCAGTTGCCATGTTGTTCTAAAAATTAATTGTAGTAAGAGATAATTTTAAAGTTGTGTTCATGATTATTATTATTTAGCCAATGGCAAATGTTAATTTGATATCTAAAATTATACTTACAAAACCAAATCTTCCAAAATGTGGATCAAACAAGGAGACTGACATATCATTTTGAGATCCTCTACCATGATGGAGCATAAGAGCATTTTGCCCCATCATCTCAAATGGATTATGGAACATAGAGTTCATCATGCTGTTCATCTGCCTCATGGTATGCATGGAAGATCTGTTGATCATAAATTATAGTTCCAAAATTCATGCTTTTACTCTCAGATTTTTTAAATTTGAATATAAATAACGTAATAATTTATATTATCTTAAAACATATCAGCGTAATCAGGACAAAGATACAAAAGAAAACAAATGACACAACATAGACCGATTGCTATAGAAACCTTTACTTGATATTGATTATATTTATAAGAATTAAAAAAACAAGTAATTATTTTATGACATTATATATAGTCTTTTAATAATATATATAATTCTCAATTAATAATATTGTTGATATATATAAAGTATATGTTATTAAAATGCTACATATTATATCTTCTCTTTTTTGCAAATTTCAGTGCAAATTATACAAAAGTAATTGCAATTACAATATATGTTTCATTAAAACAAATCATAGAACAATCCTTTTAAAAAATAGATATATTTTTTTCTTTTTCTGGTCTCTTTATCTCATTGTCAATAATTATTTTATAGAAAAATACCATATCATATTTCTTCAAATATAAAAAAATATATCTCTTTATATATATCTATGTTACATCTTGATACGTGGATTTAAGATCCAGATTAATAAAAAATTTTTTGATCAATTTAAATAAGAGGGAGCTATATACAAACAGATGAATAAATACTTTGATTAATTTATAATATATATGTATATTTAACTATCAGATATATTTATATATTTATCATATTATATATATTTATTTAATAAAAATAAAATCTCTATTTGTAGAATATACCTAGTCTTCTTATATAAAAAATATCTAAGACATCTTTCATAATTATTTACAAGAATGTTGCATACGTGTATCATGGTACAAAGTATTCATAACAAATTGTCAGTTGAAGCTAAAATCACTTCATGTTCTTATATGACAAAAAAATCGGTCCAACGGTTTTCTATGAAATATTTGATAAAAACTAAAAGAGAAAAGCAAAATATATTTAACTCTATGAGACTTTATGAGATACGCAACCTCTATCTCGCATAAATAATAATAACAATCTCTTGCATTTAAAAAATGTAAGCTACATTTTTGACAAAGGTAATTAAAACTTTATTGTCAAGCAAGATAAGTCATAAATATATATTTGTGTCTCTTTCTCTCTCTCTCTTTTTCTTTCGGACAGATTCACGCGATCCGTTGCTCTCCAAATGGAAGAGAGAGAGAGAATATATATATATATATATATATATATATATATTTCTAGTAGATATCGTGGTGAAGCTTACCCGAAAATGTTGAAAATATCATCATCGCCCATAAATGACCCGAACAAAGACATCTTGCCGGATACCTTCGAGAACTCGTGCTCGAGATTGGAAAAATTCACTTTAGCGATCGATAGAAAGTGGATTTTCTACTATGCGTTACACGTACGAAAACGACTGACTGAATGTTGCAACGAGCAAGAGCACCTTTTCCGTTTGCGGAAATTTCCAGAACTGTCCAGGACTGATTCGCGCAAGTGTGATACGTCATGTGTCATATTACAGATGGGTGGTATTCGAAAATCTACCCGAAAATGGAGTATCTTTTGATTGACCAATCGGGACGAAAGGAGCAAAGGCTTCTTTATCTTGATTGGTCGATAGGTTTGTCGCGTTATTTGCACTTTCTAATACACTTGGATAATGTAGAAAACGTCAAACGGAACGATATATGCACGCCCCTCGCTGTGTTCTTTTTTTCTATGGCAAATGTATATAAGCGAAAAAACACGCAATTGAGCAGAATGATGGATATGGATATGGATGCTCCGAAGAAATTGTTCGTCGCACGGGAAAAGAATTTTGTCAAACGCAATATTTTTCGCGTAAAACGTTCCTATCCTGCAGAACCCAAACAACGATTCGTCGATACTCGTTATGGCAACACGCATGATTTAAAAAGCAGCGGATTGCTTCCAATTTATGTGCACAAGAAAGTACGAGTGTATATTATGCGTGTATATAAAAAAAAATGACTTCTACTTCAGTTTCGTTTTAGCCTTTTATGCTTTTTCCGCTGTTTCTTTACACGTAGTACAATTATTTTATCTCGATTTTATCTCTATTTTGAAAGCCACGTTTTTCTTCAGAATTATGGAAAAATACCGAAATTCATTGCGGTTGATACGAAAGCCGACGTGAGCGTAGAAACTGAAACTATCAAACAGCATGATTTCGATGAAGATAAGATGTCAAAAATATCTTCATGTCGATACATTGACAAAGAGGAACGGAGAATATTATTAGACGTAGGTATAGGTGTCTAGTTAGGCCTCTGTGTGTATATGTATTAACCTCGCAGAGTTACAATTAATTTGGACGGAAGTAATCGTACGTTCGTTTGTGCATTCGGAAACAGGGTATGAAGAAAAAATGGGAGGAAACGATGAGACAATTCCAAAAATTGCCGTTTCTCTCCGACACTCTACCGAAAGCGCAAAAAAAAGCGAAGATGGAGCGTGAATTGCAACAACTCGAAAAAGACATAGCAACCATCGAGCAACATCCACATATATACGTTTATGACAACAACGCATAAAAATGTAAACGTGTATTTTATGTAATATTATACGCATATATCTCTCTATCCTCGTATCAAAATTTACGCTACCAATAGGATATTCTCAGGCACAATTTCTTATGTGGATTATAACCATGATGTAATATTATATTTTACATCATGCATTATACTTAATATAAAAAGTATAGAAAATTAACGCATAATAAAAGTATAACGATCAACTCTTTTTACGCTTTTATTTATGAACTTGAGAAATAAAATTGGACTGGCTCTGTAAAGTATATCGTATATGTATTTACTTGTATGTATATATTGTTAGACAAGGATGGAAAGATATATTCAGGATTAATATAAAAAAAAAAAACTTGATTGTTGAATGATGCGCGCGTTGGTGTAAATCTTATTATCGTTAGAAAAAAAAAAGAAATATAATTTAACGAGATATTAATATATTACACAAATGTAAGAAACGGCACATTTATATAATATGTACAGATTTTTGTGCGAATAGAAATTAATTTTTTGTCTATTGAGAACTTTGTCTAAATGAATAAAATGTTTCAGTTTTCATTATTATTCACTATAGTTGCTTAATCTTTCGCGAATTTTTTCACTGTAATGCTTTTATATTCAAATTTCATTGACGCTACGGAGATTACGAAGCGTTTGATTGGCCAGAGCGAATCAGAGCGAAGAACTAAAAGTCCCTTGTCTCTAGCCATGAAACAAGAAATTGACAGAGAAGCATGATTTCATAGTGAACAATGACAGTTAGGGCCTATCCAAACGGATTTGCATAGTCGCATAACATATGTATAAGGAAATCGATTGATGCATAAGGAAATGGACCAATCGATTTCCTTAATACATATGTTTATGCGACTATGCAAATTCGTCTGGATAGGCCCTTAAAAATAGGATCACAATGTTCGTTCGCAATGGACGATAATTGACCAGCACGGGAAAAACAGGCAAAACGTCGATAGTCGATACGCTCGCAGCTCGCAGCAGCTCACAGCTCACAGCATCCCTTTACGGCAATTGTGTCATTAGCTTCACTGAGCCTATTCGCTAGAAAATATTGCCATTTCCGAAGAATTTTTTCGACAGATTCTCATAAAGCTAGTTCGAAATGGTAATCAAGTGCATCGTATAGATATACGAGTCGGAATAATTTTCCTGTGATTGCAAAACTACTACTTGTATTCTTTTTTTTTTTTTTACATAACCCGCGCGAGATTCTCTTACAAAAATTTTAGAGCAATTTATTTATAAAGTCATACGAATATATAAACAAAGCATTCTTAAAAATCATTTATCTTGCAGGGTAATGAAAGTTCGCTGCCTATGGAACTTTGTTCAAACTGTAAGTTATAAAAAAATATTGTGATTTGAAATATCTTAAAGTAACCTGATCTTTTCTTGTATCACTATGTTTTCTATTTGAGATCTTCAAATAAATAATTATTTTTATATTAGAATATAAAAATTATATGGCATCTGTGCTTTACATATACATATAATTCGGTATTTTTAGAAATATACATATACATATATACACATACACAGACACACACACCGTGACAGGTTTCTATAAATCTAAAATTTATATACATATTTTATATTAAATATTGGTGCTTTAGTTGATGTAGATGAAATTAGAAGATTGGGAAAAAGATTTCGGAAGCTAGATTTGGATAATAGCGGAGCTCTTAGTATCGATGAATTTATGTCTTTACCCGAGTTACAACAAAATCCATTGGTGCAACGTGTTATTGACATATTTGATGCTGATGGTAATGGAGAAGTAGATTTTAAAGAGTTTATTCATGGAGTGTCTCAATTCAGTGTTAAGGTAGTATTTCTCTTTCTAAATAGTGACTGTTATATATTTATATATACACAAATATAATTATATAAAATACTAATATGCAGGGTGACAAAGAAAGCAAGTTACGATTTGCATTTAGAATTTATGATATGGATAATGATGGTTATATAAGCAATGGAGAGCTTTTCCAAGTCTTAAAAATGATGGTAGGCAATAACTTGAAAGATACACAATTGCAGCAAATTGTTGACAAGACAATATTGTTTGCTGATAAAGACGAAGATGGCAGGATTAGTTTCGAAGAATTTTGTTCCGTGAGTAATATATATTTATCCTTCTTTTACATAATATACAATATATTATATACAATATATTATATGATTGTTCTTTAGGTTGTTGGTAATACAGATATTCATAAGAAAATGGTGGTTGATGTTTAAGTGATCCAAGTTTGTGAAAAACTCTTAATTTACAAAATGTATGTTAATTGAAATCTATAAATTAATAATCTATTATAACAACAGATTTATCGGATAGTTCTAACAAAGATCTGTTTAGAGTAAACTTATACGATTATTGTTCTTAAGCCTTTTATCATTACAAGTCTACCCAAACAAAATTTACACGATATATCAGACTAGTACAGTGCACGAATATTAGATCAATATGATACAGATTTGTTTTGATGTCGTGCCCTGTTAAAGATATTGCGGAACAATTTAAATTATCTTGTATGTTCCTTTAAATACAAAGATCAACAATGTGATCTTAAATAATTAAAGCTTTTAACTAGCATCTCGAGTCTAACGCTATATGTGATTCCCAAGATTTTCTTCAGAAACTTGTAAAGAAATATGTGTTTCCTACACTATAAATAATTTGGACATAAATGCAGTTAATTAATATCTTTGTTTTAATGAAGCACGAAAGTAAATCAAATCTTGCATTATTGATACAATCATCATACCATAACTTATCATACTTCTATCATAGTTAAAAAAAAATAATTGTTAATATTATCCTTAACGACGTTAATATCGTTAATATACTTAATAACTTCGACCAGAATCCTTAAGGATATTATTATTTTAAATGCTATTAATATTTTAGAGGAAAGTTGTAAAAGATATAATCTCTTCCCCCCCCCCTCCCCCCTCAGCTATTCATATATATTATATTTATAAGAAACAATTTCAAATTGTGCATTCGGAAGATACACTGCAATTTATGAAGTTATACAGAGAACATTTTAACTTTATTAAGTCACAGATCTACTCGATTAGCCTTTGTGTGTATAAGACTTGTGTGTATAAACTGTGTATTGACATTGGATGTTTGTAATTTTCGAATGTGCGATTTATTTATTTATTTAGATATTTATTTATTACATACATATATATATATATATATATGATTAGTAGAACATATAATAATTTATCATATCAAGATATATTTAGATATTTATAATATATATAAGTTTATTTTACCATTGTTAATTGTTTCTATGTATACTCACATGTTATACGATCTTATCATATGTCTAATTAAAGTTTAAAATTGTGAAATATATATATTGAGATTAATCTGTATAGATATTGATACATATACAGGATGGACCAGTAACTTTGTGTACCTGGAATATACATATAATGCATATATAATTTTTGAGATAAATATGCAAAATACAAATTTTTGCTTCTATTTAGATGAAATGTTTTGTGATAATCTATATTATTTTTTGTATCTATATTTTTTTTAATAATATTTGTTCCGTAAAAATATTTTTCACACAAAAATAAGTTCTTGTTATTTGGCTTGGGATGTTATTTCAGCGTATAACCCATTCCTTTTTTTTTTATAGATCCATCTTTCGGAGCCATCGCTCTTTTCATCTCTTTTTTTTCTTTAATCGATTTACGACGTCACAAATTTAGTGTTTGTTTTCGTAAAGATACGCATCAATTAAAAGATTAATCTGCAATTAATTTGTGCCATCTTGAAACAAATAAAATTAATATAGGACCTATTTATAATTTATATTATGAATGCATAATGTATGTATATACATACAAATAAATAAATCATATATATATAATTTAATTTTTGCATTAGCACGCAATTTCTCTGCATCCGTATGTGTGTATGTGTGCGCACGCGGCTATACATCTCCATGTGATCAATTCTTAAATCGGATCTCTTGGGTTTCTGTATACAAGACGCGTTAAGCCCGTATCAGACTACACATTGAAAATTGATTGTATCTATATTTTTTTTAATAATATTTGTTCCGTAAAAATATTTTTCACACAAAAATAAGTTCTTGTTATTTGGCTTGGGATGTTATTTCAGCGTATAACCCATTCCTTTTTTTTTTATAGATCCATCTTTCGGAGCCATCGCTCTTTTCATCTCTTTTTTTTCTTTAATCGATTTACGACGTCACAAATTTAGTGTTTGTTTTCGTAAAGATACGCATCAATTAAAAGATTAATCTGCAATTAATTTGTGCCATCTTGAAACAAATAAAATTAATATAGGACCTATTTATAATTTATATTATGAATGCATAATGTATGTATATACATACAAATAAATAAATCATATATATATAATTTAATTTTTGCATTAGCACGCAATTTCTCTGCATCCGTATGTGTGTATGTGTGCGCACGCGGCTATACATCTCCATGTGATCAATTCTTAAATCGGATCTCTTGGGTTTCTGTATACAAGACGCGTTAAGCCCGTATCAGACTACACATTGAAAATTGAAGATTAAAGATTGGAATTTGACTAATCAAAACAAAAGAAACTAAAATTTCTTTGTCCCGATTGGTCAAATTTCAATCTTCAATGCGTAATCTGATATGGGCTTAAGATAATCAAGAGTATTGGAAAGAATGACGGTGATCCGGTGATCGGTTGGAGATTGCGACAATCCAGACGCGTCAGTTGGCAGTGTTGGCACTGGTTGGCACTACTGTCATTCTCCTTCTCCCTCCTTGCCGCTTGCCGTAGTTCTCATTGTTGCTGTTTTGTGGCCGGTGTGTTTGCTAGTTTACATTTTTGGTTGTTTCTCTCACGTAGAGCATTTCTTTTCGAAATTTGTCGAATTTTACGCAGCGAATTTTATCAACGGATCGAGATAATCGAGATAATTGGGAGAAAACGAAGGAGATTTGTCGGAGGAGGTTGTCGGCGGCGGCGGGGAAGATGGAAAATTTGGAGGAGTGGTTGCAGGCGCTCGACGAGTTCCAGAAGATACGTCCCACAGTGATTCCACAAGAATTGGAGGATTATTTATGTTGGGTCGCCAAGACGGGCGATCCTGTCTACCAATGGCCGTTGATCAAAACGCTCTTCAGGGAGAAACTTACTCGTGTAATGACAGATTTTTACGAGAACTGTCCCAATTTAGAATTCGCGACCTGTCCTAACGTGGAACACTTCAACTATGACGCTATGAAGAGCAATCTTCTCGAGAGATTAGAGTCATTCGTTAACGCACCGTTTACCGTTCAGCGAATATGCGAGTTACTGACATCGCCGCGTAAGGAGTACAATCGCGTGGATAAATTTATGCGCGCCATCGAGAAGAATATCTTGGTGGTTTCGACGCGCGAGCCGGGCCCTATAGCTAGACGCGGTGAAACGGGAGACGGTATGGTGAACGGATCCGTCGAGGAGGATACAGCCTCGGTTACGCAGCAGCAACCACCGTTACCACCGCCTTCACCTTCACCGTCGCCTTCACCCTCGCCATCCTTGTCGTCGTCACAGTCACAGTCACAACTATCATCGTCACCACCACCACCATCGCAGCCACAGCAAACGACTCAACCGGCACAACCGACCTCTCAAGATGTCGAGATGGAATATTGGGAGAAGGACTGTACCTCAACTGTCACCATCAGTGTGCACACTGTTGCTGAAAATGAAACGCCTCTTCTACACAGTGATGTACCAACCGCTGGTTCTCCGTTGACTAAAAGCCTATTTACCGCGGACGAGACTGCTCGAGAGAAGCTAGAACAAGCCTCCTCTAGAACAGAAATTGCAACTTCTAATTATATTTCTGCCACTTCAGAGTTCTCCTCTGTGTCGAATTTAACTTCGCAATCACACGAACCGGTATCGCCAAACGCATCTAATGTTCCCAGCGTGCAAAATCTACCAGCTGTTGGAACAGTGATCAATGACAAGATCCCCAGTGACTCACCGTCTGTCGGTGCTACTGATATAGCGGAGGTAATTATGAACGAGGACACTAACTCTCAATCCAATCTAGATATGGAAAATGAGGAAATTGAAGCAGCGACAACAGCGAGCTCCATGACGACGACGAAGACGATGACGACGACGACGGCGACGACGACGACAATGACGACAACGACGACGTCGACAACGACGACGACGACGATAGCGTCAACAACATCAACGGCAGCAACATCGACGACATCGGCGGCAGCAACAACGACAGTAACCGTGGTGGCAACGGTAATACCCTTAACGACAGATACCACTCGAAATCTACAAGCTGCTTTCCAAGCAAAACGCTTTGAATCTGATAACGATAACAAGTGTTTGGATAGTAAATCCGATGAGAAAGGACCAATTCCATCGACGATAATCAGCGTGGACGAGGAAGGAGTCGGGCATTCCATGAAAAGCGATGAAACGGCGTTGAACAAATTGAATTCCGAATGTATGGATTCAAACGAAACGTCTTGTAATGAAAATAGATCAACCGAAAATTTATTACAAACGGACGTTGATATGAGATCCGACACTTTGGCAAATAATACTGAAAGTGTAAATGCCAAAGAAATAGTTTCAAATAAATCAGAGGAAGAGAATACATCGATTTTCGAAGATACGGACAAAGAAAATTTGCGTTCCAAGAGCGGCGACGACACAAAAACGGCAATATTTATCGAATCTGAACTTGAAGAAAAAGAGAGTAAAGTTACATCCGATGAATGTATGAGCGCAGTCATTGTATCTAGCAATGAAGCATTATATAAACCAGAGAAAACTGAGATGTGCTCTAAAGAAGTGTCTGCAATGATTTCTTCCAAGGAAAGTTTTATACATGACCAATCCATAAGCCAAAAATTTGAGAATACGCAAGTAACGGATAACGTTATAGAAGCAGTTCCTAGAGTAGCATCTCCCAATAGCAACGATAATGAACAAGAAGTAGAGATTACAGAATTTAGCACGGATAATTTGAAAGTTATGGAAATTTCCAATGACAAGGCTGCTCTTGTCGAACCTGTGGTATCACTTTCAATAAGTACAATAGAAAAATCTAAAGAAGCAACATCTGTAATTGAAAAATTTGTTCCTGTTTCACCTACTGTCGAGATGACAGAAAGTTCTGATAATATCAGTTGTCAATCTTTGAAAGATGAAAAGTTAATAGAAATACAAGATGATAATTTAACAAATGCACAAGATAATAAAGCAACAGTGTGTATTACGACAAAAGAAAAGCAATCTTCTGTAATAGAAAGTGTAATTTGTATAAAAAAACACGAATCTACAGAATTAATGGAAGTCGACGACGAAGAATCACTATCGACGTTTCAACAGGATGAACCTATGGAGCAGGAAACAATGGAGGAGTTGTCAAAAAGTTAATCCTAACTTATCTAATCAATCGCTGTTTCTCTCTGTTCAACATTTGATATCTATTTTTTGTATAGATATTGAAATAAGAGTCAACACATAAATATCTTTGCGCATAAACAAGCTCCTTGTGCGTCGTATGCATATAATTTCTACAACCGTTAATTATTAATTATATGTGAAATTTAAATTATGAGTAAATATTAAGTAGCTCTCAATGAAGTTCTCTCGACTGAATAGCTCCGGCGTTCACTTATAAAGAGATTTATCGAAATGAATTTTCTAACTCTTAAAAGAAAAAAAAAAAAAAAAAACACTGCCTACTCCCAGAAGATTGTAATACTGAAAAACCGCTTGTGTATAGAAGCCAGATTTGGTAAACATTTCAATATGGATTTATACGAATACCGTAAATGTCTGCTTAGAATAAGGTTGTGCCTATAAATATTATGTATATTGTATATTGCACAAGTATATCTAATAAATAAATTTTTAAATAACGTGCGTAAAATCAGTACCACAGATTCGAACAACATCTCGCGACCGAGGTAAACGAAATATAGCTTCGTTTGTGTAATCACAGCCTTATACTAAGTTTCGATTAAATCTCGAAATATTTATATCTCGGAATTTAAAATTGTTAGCCTAATTCCGAAAATGTATTCGAGATTGATCAAAAATATATTCCTTATAAACCTTTCTATACTGTGCAACAGCATTTGGAGATGTTAAAGCAGTGTTGCTTCGAAAAGATGTGTATTAAAACTTTGATTAAGCTAATTTAAGATCGATATTTCACGAATGTATCGCCTATATCTGGAGAGTCAGTGTATAAAGTATATTTCATGATTTCATAAGTGGGCAAATAATTTCATTTACGAATGTTTGCTATATATACATAAAAAAAAAAAAAAAAAAAAAAAAAAAAAAAAAAAAAATTAGTATGAAATTAAAATTTGAGCTAGCTTTTTGATCGGCTCTTTTTGATTGGAAATATAATATCCTGATTCCAAGTAAATAACCGAATAGCAAAGTTATCGACTCTATGCGGATCTGAACGAAACTCTTTAGGCAGCCCATCACAAATTTATAATAAAATCGCTTGCAGTTACATGTACTTGCACAAAATGTTTTCAAGCGGATTCGAATTCATTGCTGATCTATGAAAATGTTATTAGAATATATCGTAGGAATGGGATATTAATTTAATAATTGATATAGATTAATAAAACATAATACACGAATGTGGATATCTGAAAAGAATAGCTGTACATTATTTTATAAGAAAATATATAAAAATAAGATTGTGTCAACATCTATCTTTTATTCATAGCGAGTACCTGACCTGACCTCGTGCTTGAAGGGGAAAAAAAAAAAAAAAAAAAAAAAAAAAAACAATCAGATGACATTATAATGCCATTCCCCACAATATAACAATAATTATATGTAAATACTTCATCGTTTATAAGAATTTTCGCTAATTGAACGTTACATATCTTTCTACAACATTCAGCAATAAACACAGAGCAATAGACGTAATATTACACTTCCCTATTTTTATTCCAACTTTATGTGATATATTACTGCCAAAAAAATACGCTAATACAAAATTTGTTGAATTTTAGACATTTGATAACTTACGTACGGGGCTATTCTTTTTTTTTTATTTTTTTTTTTATTTTTTTTTTTTTTTTTAATAATAAATATACATATGTATATATGTACATATAATACACCGATATACACCATACTTGGAAAGAACCTTATAACAAATCAAGGGATATACTATTACTCGTTCAACGATTCCTGTACATCTATTTTATGCAAATGTTTGATGTTTCACTAATTTTTTAAAATAGCCATGCTCCAAGTTCATGAGTTCGACATAAGTACCGGTTTCTGCCACTTGTCCTTTATCAAGGACCACGATTTTATCAGCGTTTTTTATTGTACTAAGTCTGTGAGCGATCGTTATTACCGTCCTGCCACGGATAGCACGTTCTAATGCTTCCTGAACGAAATACTCGCTTTCCGCATCTAAGGCACTGGTCGCTTCGTCCAATATTAAAATTTTTGGTTTCTGAAAAGAAAGAAAGAAATAAAAGAAAATATTTTTTGTACCGATAAAGAGTTATTTCAATAATTATAATTATAGTACGTTTACCTTTATTAATGCTCTGGCAATGGCGACTCTCTGACGTTGCCCGCCACTAAGCGCGATACCTCTTTCCCCGACTATTGTATCTAATCCATCCGTCATTTTTTCTGTAAACTGTAATACATGCGCTTGTTTCGCGGCTTCTTCTATATCGGAATCTGTCGCGGTTTCCATTCCATATAATATATTATCCCTTATCGAGCCGCTAAAAAGAATTGGTTCTTGGGATACAATACTAATTTGTGACTTTACCCATATAGGATCGAGTAGACGGAGATCGTGATTATCCAAAAGTATCGATCCCTTCGTAGGATCGTACAGTCTTAATAAAAGTGATGCTACGGTAGATTTTCCAGAACCCGAGGAACCGACGATAGCTGTCATGGAACATTTTTCTATATTTAAATTAAAGCCTTTCAATACATGTATCGTTTTTCGTGTTGGATAAGCAAAGAAAACGTTTCGAAACGTCACGTTTCCCGATAATTCCTTCTCTAATATTTGTCCACCCTGAATAGGAATAAGCGGCTCTCGATTGATCAACTCGAATAGACGAGCATTCGCTCCTAGAGCCTTATTTAACTCACTGTACGCTGTAGATAATCCGTTTAGAGATATTCCCACATATCCTGCATATAACAGAAAGGCGCTTAAGCTTCCAATTGTTATATCCGAGTTTGAAACCATAAATACTCCATTGTAAAGGACCGAAAGAACAATAGCATTCCCAGAAAGACCAGTCAAGCCAAAGAACATTCCTCTATATAAGCTCTCTTTGTAACACAGTCTCAAAACGTCTTGTAGCTTAGCGCTATATCTGTCAATTTCGCGTTTCTCCTGCGCAAATGCTTTAACTGTTCTTATATTACTAATTCTTTCTTCCGCAGTAGTGTTGAGCACTGCAAAACTGCTCTGTAGATCCTTGGATATTCTTCTCAAGACGCGTCCCCAAATGGCAGCAACAATTACAACAGGCGGTACTATAGCTAGGCCGAGTAAAGCTAGTGACGGCGACACATAAAACATCATAGAGACTCCTGTAATGGTCATAATAGCGGAGCGTAAACCATCCGATACATTGGATGTAACAGCGGAGCTAATAAGTTGCGTATCTCCTAAAAAAAAAAAAAAGTTGTAAAATCAAAAGATATGGTGTAAAATAAAGTCAACATACTTCAATGATATATTAATCGCGAAATATATATATATATATATGTATACATATATACCGCTTAATCTGCCGACTAGTTCTCCTGTACTTTCCTTATCAAACATTCCCGTTTCCTGTCGTAAAATCGCAGCGTACGCCTTTTTCCTTAGAGACTGCGTAATTCTATGTCCTGCTGTAGACATCAAGTAAACCCTGCTAAAGTTGCTCACACCACCTATGAGAAATATTACGAAGAGAGCGAACGTTATCTGATTGAGCTTTTCTTTCATGCTTGTTTTTTCCATATCGTTGATAACATCTATGACTTTGCCAAAACAAAACGGAACAGCCATAGTTATACTGGAAGACACGAGCAGAAATGCGATGGCCTTCATTAGGGTCCATTTTTCAGGCACAGCTAACAAAATTAGATTCTTTAACTCCGAGCTCTTCTTCGTCTTAACCGAATGTACGATGGATATCGAAGTGTCGGATCCAATAGCATTAGATGTATGACGTCTCAATTCAATAAATATACGTCCTTTCCTTGATATTCTGATGTTCTGTCTTGTTAAGCACGAGCCAAAGCCAAACAAGTATTTCCGCGACATCCTGACACTGATGCCGCAACATCCTGATTTTCGCAGGATACCAGGATTAGTCAATAATTTCCAGAGAAGCGTCATATTATACTATATTATAATCTGATTATCGCGCGATGTGACATGCAAATTTTGTGAATAATGAATAAATAATCGTTAACGGAGTAATCTCTTGTAAGAGTCAGCCTTCGGTCCAGAAGACTTCTAACCTAAAAAGTACAAAATCGTACAAAATCTCATTGTAATATATAGTTACGCTTTTGAGAAAAGTACGATTAATTTTTGAAGTAAGGGAAACTCTCTTTCGGCAATGAGTTTGATTGCTGATGATTAAACGATCGTTTCATTTATAGGCTAACTAGGCGCGTTGCGAAAGGTTGTCGGTGATGGCACCCTTGAAATATGTCCATCGACAAACGGGAAAAGTTCATTGTGCAAAATCATGCAAAGTGTCGATTAAAAAGTTTGCGTAAAATTAATTTACGTAAAATTTCGCCCAAGTAACCGACGATTCTGAAATTCGGTACAATGACGTCATCTTTCCGCGGGAAAACTCCTCAAGCCCAAGCCCAGTATCAGACTATCGATTGGCTATTGGGATAGAGAATTTCTAGGGTTTCGAAAGGTTTCTTGCAACGGTAGCCAATCGATACATCCGACACTCTACCAGTGATGCCAGTTTTGAGACTCTGCCACAGCCACAGCGTATGGAGGGAATAACTCACACAAGCGTGAACCGTGTACATGTAATGCGCAGAGCGTTCTGCGCATTACACGTACACGGTTCACGCTTGTGTGAGTTATCCCCTCCACACGCTGTGGCTGTGGCAGCGTCTCAAAACTGGCA